TCTTTCCATTTGATTTTTATTTGGATTTCTCTTGCAGGCTATTCAGACATAACAAAACTAAGTAATCCGAGTGCAAATTTTCTTTAATCAAATCACAATAGGAATTCAGAATTGAGGAAGAATCATTGTCAATGGAGCCCCCTCTATTCGAAGAAACCTCGCGTTGTAACATCTGCAAATGTAACTACACCACTTTCCATTGTTGGGTACTCTTTTTGTTCACTTCTTTAATTATTTCAATTGTTTTTGGCTTTTTGTGTAATTAATTATGTAGCGTGATTCTGATAATTCTTTGTATATCGAAATTCGGATCACTTGCATCTGGATTCTCTTTCCCTTTTCCTTCTTTTAAGTTAATTTTTAATGAGCTGATTGCACTAGACTTAAAAGTTGTTTTATAGTTTGGTGGAGAAATTCGTGGGTTCTAAGTTTTTTATAAGGTGATGCTTCACGCAATTTCTGTAACGGTTTAGTTTTTGTTAGTAGTTTAGGATATGGCAAATGTGGGATGAATGTCGAGGAAGATGAAGGGGCTCAATGGTTGTTGAGAATTTAACTGACGAAGTACGTTGAGGAGAGATGAAGTTTGTAATGGTTGTTAAGAAATGGAGTCTGTATTGATCAGTTGTTGAAAATGGAAGATGCAAATTACGTGCTTGAATTTGAAAAGGAAAAGTGAAACCCTCAACTCTTTATTGATTTTCTTCTTTTCTTTAGTTGTATTTTTTTAGCTTTGAAAGTCTAAATTTAATATTTTATTTTTGTTGTTCTCATCAATAAGCCTTCACTTGTTGTAGATAAATTAAAGGGAATCGAGCATAAAATGGCTTAATTTAATCTTCTAGAATGCTTTTATATAACATCTGTTACTAATTTAGTTACCTTTTTTTATCAATATTGCAAGTTGCTTCAATAGTTGTATTTGAATTTTTTTGAGGGTGTAGTACCTTGTTCTTTATTCTATTTACAATCTGAAATAACTTTTGAGATGCTTTTCCAAATTAATCTGCTTTTCTTGAGTGAAGCCATAATAAAAATTGGTTCACATTTTTGGTCCATTATTTTGTCCTTTTGAACACCTGATTTTTATGGTTAAATATGTAAATGGCTTGTTCATTGAAGACTTCGCAAATTATTGCTTACTGTATAGTTTCTGCCTGGAGCTTGTGTTTTGATTTACTGGTTTCGTTCACAATCATCTTATTGGTTTGACATTCTTCTATTCATTTTTA